GTCTGCCTTTTTCTGTCTTTTTTGACTGGAATCCAGAGTAAGTATTGGAAAAGGATGACTTGTTAGAGCCTTTGTATTTTCTTTTCCAGGAAATAATAACTTTCCTGCCATTTTTCTATGACAAAAGATTGGCAGTCACTAAGTCACAAATATAGTTAGAGGTGAAAATGAGAAAGCTGGTGTTGTATAATACTCAAACCTTTGCACTTAATTTTCTGTTTTTCCTCCTTCCTACCCTTCCATCCTTACTTCCATACTGACTTCAGGATGGAAGCCAGTGGAAAGGTGTTTGTTCTCCATTTACCTACCTCATGAACTCAGGACTTTATGCTTGCTAGGCAGGTACTCTACCAGTTAAGTCTCTCTTTTAGCCCTTTTTGGTTTAATTATTTTTTAATAGGGTCTCACATCTATTCCTGGAACTGGTTTTGTCCACAATCCTCTATTTACACTTCCTATCTACCTGACAGGTACACAACTACACCCAGGTATTGGTTGAGGTGGGGTCTTGCAAATGTTTTTCTTGGGCTGCCTCAAACCTCAATCCTCCCCCATGCCTGGCTGCAAAAGTGTAGCCTACACTGGTCTCAAACTCGTGATTCTTCTAACTCATCTTTTGCCTTGATTTCTGGCATATGCTATCATGACTGGCCTCCCTGCCCATCTTGATAGCTGTTATTTTAACCCTACTGGGGTCCCATGGGGCAACAGTTGACAGAAAGACGTGACACACTGGACACTCTTACTTGAGCAGTAACTCTTGTCATTTGGTCTCACTTTGGCCCAGCAGATGTCTTTTTCCCTTGAGATAGCTATCATCTTCATAGACTTGTCACAGTTTTCCTGCTGTTTCTCTTTCTCCTATAAATCCTTCAAATAAATAGGATGCTTATCTTATTTCTCTGCTCTTATTTCCAATTTCTGCTCCTAGACATCGAGTAGTGCATCACCAAGTTCCTTCAGCCTCTCCAGGTGTCTCTATTGGACAGGACTTGTGACAGTTCCCATACTGGATTACTCTGTGTGTCAGGCCTCACAACTCTTCTCAACTCATACGTCCCTTGCCTGGTTCTGCTGTGGGTTCCAAGGCAGCAGCATTCTTCTGACTCTTTTCAAAACAGCCAGTTATCCTCTTGCTAAAAGATCCCCACCTGGTAAGAGTTAGACCCTGGCCACAGTGACAGTTTTGGCTATCTCAAGAGTGATTTGAGTACCAGCCTTTAAATCTTTTAGACTCAAATACTTCTGTTGCTCTCTGAGGGGCTTATTCCTCTAGCCCAGGGTTAAAGGATTGCATCTCCCCCCAATTCCCTGATGGCATGGAAGGCTTGAAAAAAATATCACACATTGCCTGCCAAAAGATGTCTTCTCTGGTCTCTTTTATCTTTACTCCCTGACCCTTCTTCTGTGTTTTTATGTGTCTATGTCTAGCAGAGATGCCCAAGAGGGACCTCTTTGTTCTCAAGGCTGTTCACATTGAAGAGCCTCATAACATGGTTTGGCACTTTTCTTTGGAATTTTGCATCTATTATATTTTGTGTCCTGGTGGAAACTATAGTTTTCAGATCCTATTACCCAACTAATAAACAAACATGATTCATGGGCCAATCCTTGAACCACAGTCCAATGGTTTAACATCTGGCTCTACTAAAAAAGTTTGATTTCTGAGTGTGCATTGTGTAAAAAAAATTAAGGGGTGGAGGGAGACAAATTTTGAAGTTTTACTTAATCTTTGACCAACTCTATTATTTAGCACTTATGAACTAGAGTTGTAGGCATACGGAGTTCATAAAATAATTTGGAATTAAATGCCTTAGTGAGTGGATACAGAAGATATTTTTCTATGGTAATAGATTGATTTCCTAAGGGCATGATGTGGATCTTGACTGCTAAGATCTCTTCCAGCCAGACAGTGGTAAGGCCATGATTCTTTGGCAAAACAAGAGAACGGGAAAGTGGTTCCATAGTGCTGAGCCACAAGGAGGCAAATTTCCCCCAAATTAATTCCCTCACCAGCTGACCACTCTATACATAGACTTAATGGGCACCACAATAGCATGTTTCAGTGAAATTTGAAGGGAGAAGAAAGTGATGGATGATTCTATTTTCTGAGGTCTGCGTATCCTCACAGTGTTGCCCGACTCCACCACAGAGAGAGAGAAGGGAAAGAAATACCACTCTGAGGTCATAACCACATCATATACACATCATATATCTGTGACCTTTGCAATTAAGAGTGAGAGCCAAAAAGTCTGAGTGTTATAGGGACTTTCCCCAAACTTTTAATTTGTTTGTATAAAACAGGAGAGGAAAATAGTTGAATAAAATCCAAGAGTGTTTCTGTAATTTCACTTCTCTGGAGACCTGAATCATGGAGTTACAAGGCACTTGCTTGATGTTCAGTTTGCAGAAATGGGGACTCTAAAGTCTCTTGACCTTTTGGTTCCCACTTCCTTGAAGAGTCTGATTTTCTCTCTCCTCCCAACCTTGCCAACCCTGTGAGATGCATAAGCTTTGTGACGTCATGGCAGAGGAGGAGATACTGTCCAGCTTTCCTTTCTAAAGCTTCTGTTAGAAAACAATGTGAATTTGTAGGCTTTCCCAATATATAACTATGCATTTTGTATTCAGACACACTTTTTCCTCTGTATATTTCATTTTATGTTGTGTTAATTTGCCACCATTTGCACAAAGCGTTCTACAATTCCAGAGGGCCATGTATGAACTCCCAAGGGGACTGAGTGTCCCAATTACAGCTGACTTTAATCATGGCTACCTCATGGGCTCTTTTCCCTTCCTGTTGGATAGCTGTATTCCTCTTCAATTCAGTTTTAGAACTCTAAATGGCCTTAGAGATCAGCTAGTTCCATCCCTGAAATTTGTAGAAATGAAGATCCAGAGAGTTGAACTCTTCCAAAGTCACATAACTTTGTTTACACTGTACATTTCTAGCAAGAACTCAGGTGGCTGAGTTCTCTGTTCAGTATTTTTGCACTATATTGTCAGTTGTATGAATCTTCTCTACTTTATCCTGTCCCCCTTATACACAGCAAACAAAACCAAAACTATGAAATAAACTAATGCCAACATAACAAACTCTGAAAAAAATGCTACATTTTTTTTTCTGGCAGTGCTAGGGATTGAACTCAGAGCTTTGGGCTTGCTACTCAGGTGCTCTATACTTGAGCCACACCTCCAATCCTTTTTGCTTTATTTGTTTTTGATGGGGTCTTGTACTTTTGCCCAGCCAACTTTGAATAAGATCCTCCTACCTACACCTCTCAAGTAGCTCGGATTACAGGAATGCATCACCATACCCAGCCCTTCATATTCTTTGTATATATTAATACTAAGCTGCCTATACTTTATAGTCACCTCAAGACTGAGCACTTACTTAATTTCTAGAAACCCGGGTTTTTGTCATATATCATAAATGATACAAATTAAAAAAAAATCCCCGGCTTCCAGTTTTTTATGGGGAGAGGCAAACATGATTTATATTCAGTTTGTGGCCAGCTTAATCCCCACAACCTTTTCAGTGCATTTTCAATTGGTGATCTCCAACCCTCTACTTGTGTCTTATCACTTTTGGCTCTTGGGTTTCTTGTATAGTTCATTCCATTTCAAGTATGATTTCTGAGTTTGGAAGGAAATCAAAGATGATTTATTGGTAAATGTAGTTACTAATAATATAAAAGCTCAAACAGAAAAACAGAATGGATAGTCATTATTTTCTTGGTGGAGAACTGGGGTTCAGCAGGGTGATGTGACTTATCTAGGGTTGTTCAGTTGCTGGCATTAAGGACCAGGGTCTTGTGGCCAAACTGACTGGTGTAAGAGTCCACAGGGCTTCCTTCCTATTTGTGCTGGCTAGAGTATAATGAAATGGGAAAAAATAGGGGAACAGGTAGCTATAAAAGATATTTTTGACCCAGTGAAGTTATAGAGCCCTGAAGTAAGCTGGTGGTGAGAAGTTTCTGAATGTGCCACCTGCTCTGTGTGTCCCTCTCAGGCCCTGTGAATTTTTATGAGAGCAGAGAGACCTTGTGGTGAAGGAGGATGGGCAGAGGTGAGGAGTGGATGGGACAGATTCTCTTAAGATATCTTTGTTGAATTTTCCTTTTATTTATCTAAGAATTGGGCCTGAAGCAAGGGTCAGTGTATCAGAGATGTTAAGTCTCAGGACCTTAGTTGGAAAAGGAATTTAGCATTCATACTTATCAAGTCAAGAGGTTCCCAGGTCACAGAGTCTTGCAAGAGAAATAGCAAGACTGCAGGTTTATTCTGGGCAAACGTTGTTTGCTACGACTCATGTCCTTGTCAGACCCAGGCAGTGTGTGCAGAAGGTGACCCTGACATCATCTCCCCTTTAAATTGCCTGTGCACCGTGGGATAAGGGTGTGCTTGTATTTGTCCTTCGAATATTACAAGCAGTAGGGATTTGATGAATGTACCCATGTAATTGAAAGTTGCTTTGTTCAGTTGGCCTGTACCTATATTGCTTACACCCAACAGTATTCAAGATAAAAAACTGTAAGTTTTCAACCAGGAAAGAGAGGGGACATTTGAGAAAAGAGAAAAAGCTGAAGACACTATTTAAACTGACTTGTATTCTGGTGAAGGATGAAAGCAATAGACTATTTGCAGAGAAGTAATCCTAGTTTTTTTAAAAGGCCAGTTTCTCAAAAGACTGGCGTTGTATACTTGCTGTGTTTGTTCCTATTTTGTTTACAAAAGGTTTATGATATAATGAGGCAAATAGTTTGTGGTTGAAAATTAAAGAGTTCTTTTTTATTTTAAGTCTTGCAAGAATCCTAAGGTGCGGTGGGGATTGGAGTGTGTGTGTTATGGGAAGGTCAGTGAGGAAGATGTGGAGAAGCTTCTTGTGCCTTCCCACTTACCAGACTTAATTATAACCCTCAATGTCTCTATATATTTAGATTTTGCTTTCATTGATGTGAAACAAAAATAAGTGAATTTTTCCCAAAAATGTATTTCAGGGCCTTGATAGCATCTCACATGGAACCGACATTTGCCAGGAATGTTTTCCCCTGTTTTGACGAGCCTGCTCTGAAGGCAACATTTAATATTACCATTATTCACCATCCTCTTTACGTGGCCCTTTCCAACACGCCCCAGCTAGGTAAGTGAGGCTCCCTGTCATGACAGAAAAACAAACTTTATAACGTTGATGTCGGCAGCCTTTGTAGGCAGTGTGTTAGTAGTACGGAGGGAGAGCGGCCACGTGGGGTGTGCATTAGCTCCACATTTTGGAATTCTTTCTGTATTAGGATTTGGGAAGAAAACAACGTTCTTATACACTGGCAGCCCGCCTGCTTATTAGTTTGGGCTTCTAATGTTGATCATGAGTGGCAACAGGCTGGTGGACTTAGTCGGAATCCAATGCACAGATGTGTCTTATTTGGCTCACGTGACTTTTTTCTTTTGATTGAACTAGTTTCTAGCTATCAAAGATGCAGAGGTTTTATATAAAACCTAGATTTTTATTTCTTTGAAAACTCAGAAGATCTAATAACACTGGACCTGCAGCATTAACATGACAGCAATCAGTTATAGCTGAGATGACAGAGGCTGCCTCCTGCATACTGGGTCTGTGTTCCACACCCACCATGTCTCCACTACTTCCTGTTGGTGTCACGTGAAATGGCTAGCCCTCACCACATTTCAGTTTGTGGTTTCAGCTTTAGGCTCCAGACTGCTTCTGCTAAGGACCTAGCTGAAACTTGACAATGGCAGAATCACACCTGTTATCCTACTACGGACCTAGATGGCTCTAGATTGAGTGCTGTGAGAAATGGGCTGGACAAGGAACTAGAAGTTGGTGGAAGAAAAAGAAGGCAGATCCCAGACCAAACTTTCAGCACTCATGGGCTGACCTTCAGTCTAGACCATATTAGTCAAGATGCTGTTCTTAGACCCTCCTAGTGCATTTTTATTTATTTTTAAAATTACTTTGTATCACATCAATTGTACATACTTGTGGGATGTGATGATTCAACCATAAGGATACAATGTTTAATAATCAAATCTAAGTAGTTAGCATTTCTTTCACCTTAAACATTTAGCAAACATTTTTGTTAACATTCTAATTGTACAGATTTATGAGTTACAGCGTATTATTTCAACACATGTATATAAATCAGAGGACTGACGAAATAAGAGTAATTAATGTTTCCATTGCCATATTGTTACTTTGTGTTTGGATACTGGAATGACCATAGTTCACAAGAACCCAACTTAGCTTTTATGGCTTAGTGGTAGATATGGAAGTCTGAGCTGCTAGACTATGGGAAGTAGTTGGGAAGGAGTGGCTGGGTGACAGTTGACTTGATGCATTATTTCGAAGCTACATGTTGTCTAAGATTATAGTGATTCAGACTAACATTTATTTCTCTAGGTCAGTCTGAAAAAGTAGACACGGATGGAAACCAGTGGACTGTTACAACCTTTCACACCACGCCTCCCATGCCAACTTACTTAGTGGCACTTGCCATATGTGACTTTGACTATGTCAACAGGACAGAGAGGGGCAAGGAGGTGAGTATGGAAGGGACAAGATCTGGCTGCAGATTTTCATCCTTTCTGCCTGTGTCTAGGGTTCATGCCTGCCTATCTCACTGCCACCTGCTGGTCCCTCTCCCAAGCCCCATGAAAGGTCTTAGTGTAGCTTTATAGACTGGGACATAAGCTGTGTATGGTGGCATGCACCTATAATTCCAGCACTCAGGAGGTTAAAGCAGGAGGATCACAAGTTTGAGACCAGCCTGGGCTATATAGAGAGAACTTGTCTTGGAAAAAAAAAAATCAGGATGACATTTTCTGTTACAGTTCTGTGGAGAGGTTTCTTTAAAAAGACTGTACATTAAACTCATTCCTCAAGCCAGGTTCTGAGCACCCTCTTCCTCTTTCTGCCTTTGCAGAGTATAGGAGAGCTGTCCTTTACAGAGGGAAGAGCTCTGTATCAGTACCTTGAGGCTCAGGCTTACTACGAGTCACTTGCTGTTAGCAACCATGGTGGCCTGGGCACCAACCAATCAAAACAGACTTCAGCCTGGAGCCTCTGCTGTGGCTGAAATGGTCATCCCTATGTAGAAGCTGAGTCACTGTGGGGACTCCTCAACTTTGAATGTCCATCATTTTGCCCTGGTAAAGGGGGCTGGGGTGCTGTGTCCTGAAAGACCTGGTTTTCACCCAGTTATACTCTCGTGGGATCAGGAGCTTTTCCAGAAGAATCCAGGTCATTATGGTGGTGTTTACATGTTGGTTCACTATCATGGACTGTGGAGGTCAGTCAAATCAGTGCCTTAAACTCAGTTCTTTCTAGTTGTTTTTGCCTTGTGGGGCTGAGAAAAATCACACCCTGAAGCTGGCTGAATCAGTCTTGGGCCTGAGGTCTCCCAGGCTCATACCATTGATGTGTGAAGAGGAGGAAGCTATGGGTGAGCTACGCCCGTGGCAGGGGGAGAATTAATCAAGGTACTCCTCCTGACCTAATGTATTCATAACAACAGTGTTGGATGCAGATGACAGCTTGTTTTCTGCCTGAGCTGTTGGCCGTAGCCAAATTTCTCTTTTTGAAAAATTTTTAGAAGACCCTCGATGCTCCCAGATATGATGCTGGTGAGGTCAAATGTTCACGACAGACATCAATAAATATGTTCAGTCATGGTTTGGAGATGTGTCATTTGAGCCTGAAAGGAGGGGACCCCATATTTCTCCTAGTGAGTGATAGACCCATGGTGTTCCCTCACATCTACATCTCAAGTGGCTAGCAGTGGTGAGAGCCACTTCTCAGTCAACAGTTCTTGTAAAGGGATAAAATGTGTTTTGTTGGTGAAAGATCCCAGCTGCCCTAGAAACAACGAGTAAATAGAGCATGCCCAAGAAAGTAATGCTCTCAGCCAGAAAGTGAAGTTTGGGCTGAGTTTATCAGTGGAATGTTGCATTTGGCTACGACTCAGTGCTACAACGTGAAGGAGTCCACAGTATCTTCTAGAGGGGAACCCAAATGCATGCTTGGAATAGAGTCTTGCCCATCCAAAAATCACTTATTAAGAGATAAAGATTTCATGAAATCAAGAATGTGTTTAATGTGAAATGTGAGAATCAACCCAGGAAATACATGGGAAGGTGAGGAAAGTACATACTTGGTGTAGAATTTGGCACCTGTGGGTATTTGCAAATATTCTTCTCTTAGGTGTCAAGATCTGTTGTGTCCAGTAAGGGCCACGGGAGCACCTGGTGGGCCAGGTATGATCTTGAAAGAACTTTACTGCTGCCTGTCCAAACTGGTCCTCCTTGGCCTGCTGGGGACAGGGTATGCACCCTCTTACCCACTTCGAAATCCCCATTGTTTGTCTGACTTTTGGCTTACAGCATGGTTCCTTATGGAAGGAGCTTTGTAAACTGAAAATTAATGTGCAAATATTAATTGGTAATGCTATTGTTTTCCAAAAGGCTGCAATTAAAACAGGTACATTAGCTCCACTGTGGGGAGTGATGGCCATTCTCTTTGTCCACATAGTGACCTTTGGCTGGACAGGCTTCCTAACTTTCACCTCTGTGGGTAGAAGTGGAGAAGGTGAAGGGTAAGTTGAGTGTAAAGGCAGGGCCAAGTTCCGGGTTCACCTTTCTCAGTCCGAGGAGGCCTCTGCAGCACAGAGGAGGCAGAAAGCAACGGAGGGATCCAGGCGGGAGCCTCAAACACAGGTGGTTGCGTTTTGGGAAGGAGGCTCATTCCTGAACCCTCACATAATTCCGAATGCGCATAATTTGAGACAAGTTTTGCAGCAGACACAAAAGCAGAGTCAGGTGAATGCTTTCCTGGAGTGCACAAGGCTGCAACTGTGGTGTTGCTTGTTTCTCTCAGCTCCCTCGAACACTCTGCAGAGCTCCTTCCCAAGTTCACTGCACTCACATCAGACAAATGTTTTGGTTTCAAGGATTTTTAGTTTCACGCATGTCCTGAAAAACAGGATGGCTATCTTATTAAAAATTGCTCAGATGATATTGTTGTAGAGTATGGAAATACTTCTATATTACAATAGTACTGAATGTTAAAAGGGGAACATAAAGTCACTAAAATCACACAAAGAAGTCTCCATGTGCTCAAACAACACCATGGTTAAAGAAAAACAAGAAATTGCAAAGATTCCTTTTAACCCTCTAAAGTGGAAATGTCATTTTGCACAAAATAAACAGATAATTCACTTGCTTCAACAGCGTTCAAACTGTAAGACTCTTTGTGAAACTCTTTATAAAGTTAGGGGAAGTTATCATTTAAAGTTTTGAAAATGAGGCAAGACTGTGAGCATTTTAATTTTTTTGATGTGGTACTGAGGTCGAACCCTGGCCTCATGCTTGCAAGGCAAGCAACTCTGCCACTTGAGTTACATCCTTAGCCCTTTTCTTTTGAGATGGAGTCTCACTAACTTTGTCCCGACTTGTCTCAAACTCATGATCCTCCTGCCTCCACCTTCCAAGTAGCTGGGATTATAGACATGAGTCACCATGCTGGCTTATTTTAATTATTAAACCATTTTAAATTTGCATGATTCAAATTTGCTTACTGTGCACCATACTGTGTAACTACCATTAACGCACAATTCTGCTTTGATTCATTAGAACTATGTCCTGAAAAGGAAGGATGAATCCCCATTTTCTATGGGCTGGTGGATCATCCTATGGATCATCCCAAGGACTGTTTTATAATTACAGAGTCGTAGGTGATGTTTGCAAAAGCTAATGTTACACACTTTCTGGGGGAAATCACTGTTGTTAACTTAATGAATTGCCTTCTTGGATTTTCTCGGCACACATATGGATATAAATATTTTTAACATGTAGCTTCTTCAGAAAAGGTAAGACTTCAGCTCTAGAGCAACAGGGAATTGGAGCAAACAGACTGACACTTTTCAAAATGACTGTCACCCTTCCTAATTACTGCTTAACTTGTTTTGATTTAGATACGCATCTGGGCCCGAAAAGATGCGATAGCAAATGGCAACGCAGACTTCGCTTTGAACATCACAGGTCCCATTTTCTCATTTCTGGAGGATTTATTTAACATCAGTTATCCTCTTCCAAAAACAGGTGAGGTGTCTTTTTTTTTCTTTCTAATGCAATAGGATTCTTGTCATGGAGCCCCTGTGTGTGGTTCCAGGTTCACAGATGAGCTTTTAAAGCTGTACCATCACCAGTTAGCTCCTGTGTTGCAACTCTTGACTGTCATCATTATATGTCATGCCTTCCCACAGAAGCCGGTCTGTACCTTCTCTGTCCTGTGCTGTGTGTCCAGCTGGGGCTTAAAGGCTTGGGTTTTGGATTCCAGCTGGGCACTTAGGAGTAGCCTCACCTCCTCTGGGCCCCACTCTTGCTTTTGGGTTCTGCTGGCCTTTTTTCTCATAATGCAAGTGTTGAGTGCTTTGCATTGTGGATCCTTTTAGCTAGTGAATTTGCATGACTCAGTCCAGTTTCCTCTAGTAAGGATTTTTCTAAGTGTTCTTTAGCTGTGAGTCATTGGATTAGGACTTGGTGGTCCCATCTGTGAATTTTCATTGTGTAAAACTGGAACCATGCGTGGCTATAATATTCTTGAGGACCTTTGTAAATATCAGATTGGAATGGTATGTCTGTAAAATTGTATGCATCACTCAGCTCAGAAAGTTCAGTGGTATTTCTCTCCAGGTTGATTAAAATGTATTTTGTTCCTGTGATGAGTCAGGGGAAGTCTTGGACACAGTAAACTCTGTTTGTTCTGGAAGGTGGTAGAAGGAGGTAGGGAGTAGAGAGCTAAGGTGGAAGGATATATAGCTTAAGCCTTTGGCTAAGAAGGAATGGGTAGCAGCTCAGTCCTGTCACAGACCCTGGAGGAACCACCTGTCATTCAAGGGTGGAGGCAGCAGGAGTCGAGGCCTGGCACTCCTATGTTGGAGGCTCCCAGGTGACCCTTGTCTAGGCAAGAAAGAGGCACTTGTGCTCCCTTAGGTGAGAAGCCTGGGTGTTATCTTTGATCCCTTGGGGGATATCCTCTCCCTCCAATTAGACACCTTATTTCCACCCCCTCACTTCCCTCCTCCCTCTCCCTATTCCCCTGGTCTGCATCGCCAACATCCCTCTCACTTGACTTTCCACCCTCCCTTTCACCCCTCCAGCCCATCCTTCCGTACAAAGCCACAGGAATGTTTTCAGAGAAAAGTCTGACCATGCTAACGTCCTCTTTAAAACCTCTCTGCAGCTTCCCATTGCCCTAAGAATGTACCAGGACTTCAGAATGGTGTCCTGGCCTCTCCCCTGGGCTCTGACTGTTCCCTGGGAAGAATCATCCATGATTCTTCCATGGGAAGGATGCTCTGGCTCAGTCTCCACCACCCCTCCCCATACTTCCAGCTCCCTACAGTCCTCCAGCTCTTGCATGTGCAATGTGGACCTCCTGGAGTATCTTCTACTCAACTGGTTCATTCAGTTCTTATCTTTGTTAACTCAGTTCTCCCTCCTCCAGGAAGTCGTCCCTGACTCCTTTTCTCTAGCTTTTACATCGTCCTGTTCACTCCTCCATCCTCATTTGATAGGACTCACTTAGGGTTAGATCTGGTTTATTTTTTCCCTTGTACCTGCAGAGCCTCTGTCAGTGCTTGTCTCACATGGTAACCAGTGAACATTTGGCCAGGGTGTTGAGGGGGGAGTGGTGGGAGAGGGATAAATACATGCAATTAGTTCAGTAATTCAACCCAAATTCTGACTACATTATCAACTTCTAGGACGTCAGGGTCATATTTGACATGTTAAAATGTGTGTCCTTCTTAGCATCTTAACCAATGCTACCCTATGAGCATCGTTTGGTTCAAACGATGTCTCTGGTTCAAACAGTGAGCATCTTTGGTTCAAACAGTGTCTCTGTTACTACAGTCTTCAGGATAAAGATAAATGATGATGCTAATTACCTTAACTCATAGTTGAGTCACTAACAAAACAAAACGAAAGCAATGATGCCTCCCCCGGCCGCAACCTCCCATGCCATATTCGCACTCTGGGTGAGTCAGGTGAAAGCTCTTGGTTATTTCTCTGTGCCGTTAGTTTAGCTTGTCATGAAGCTTCTCAGTGAATTCGGAGCCTCGGATTCTAATGGAATACAAGCTGTGATCGTGTGTCTATTATAAAGAACACCATTTTAACTCACTTTTTAAAGTCAAAACTTAACTGAAATATCAAAGTATTATAGAGACTGGTAGAGTTAGGTGTTTGTGTTATAAATTTTGAAAGAAAAAATGGTACAATAGTTTTGGGAATAAATATGAGCATTTTGATTTGCAAAGTGTACATGGCAGATTCTCTTTGATGTTTTGATTATGGTTATCCTTATAACCACAGTGGACTGGTTATATATGCTATACACTTCCCTGTGCTGGAGATAGAATGTGTGTACAGATCAACCAGAAGGCAAGGAAATATTGATAATTAGTGAGAAATTACTGGGTAAATAGTACCAGTTACTTTCGTAGGTGGAGTGTGAATGCAAAAGCATCAAGGGGCTAGGGCTCTGCTCAAGTAACTAAGATGGGGAAACAGGCTCTAGTCATTGGAGGGTCCTAAATATACAAAAAGCATCTACAAACAAATAAGCAAATACAGCCCAATTAAGAATAAAATACACATAAAAGATAGAGGAATAGAAAAGGTGATACTTTACCTCATTAGTAATCTGAGAAATTGATATCCAAGGCTACAGTGAAGCACCATTTTTGTACTCCTTCAATTGTCAGAAAGTAAACATTCTAACAAGGTAAATGTTGGAGAATGCAACATTGTGGGAAGATCAATTGTCGAAACCATTTTGAAACATATTTATTATCTTGTAGTGTTAATCATTAGAATACCTTAGTAATACTCTCTTTAAGTACATACTCAAGAGGAATTTAAGTATGTATGTACCAGGAGACATGAACTAGAATGCTCATAGCTATAATTTTTATAAAAGCCTCCAAACAATGAAAATGGTCACTTGATAGAATAAATGGTGGTATGTTCATACAATGGAAAACTATATAGCAATGAGGATGAAGCACTTCTTCTAAAGCTTAATAAAACTAAATAATGTTCTTTTTTTTTAAGCAAGGGAATGGTAAACACAAAATGTGACAAAACATATAAGCCATAAAGCTGAAAATTTTACTATATATCCATTCACAGAAAAAGTTTGCTAACTCTCTGTCCTAAAGGTTAAGTGATAGATTCTTGGGATTATTTTATTTTCTTAAAAAATAAGGTAATCATTTAAATAAAATACAACAGGACCATATGTGAACCAATGATGATAGTTGATCAAGAGATAGGGATTTTTCTCAATCTAATTCTATGCATCTGAAATTAAAATAAAGTTTTAGGGGTATGGTGATTCATGTCTATAATCCCAGCTACTCAGGAAGCAGAGATAGGAGAATTGCAATTCAAGGGTAATCTGTGTAAAAGTGAGTGAGACCATCTCTAGAACAAGCTGGGTATGGTGGGACACACCTGTCATCCCAGCTACTCAGGAGATGTATAGGTGGGAAGATTAAGGTCTGAGGCCAGCCCAGGTCTATCTGAAAAATAACTGAAGCAAAAAAGACTGGGGGTGTGGCTCAAGTGGACCTTAGCAAGCACAAGGTCCTGAGTTCAAACTCAATACTGCCAAAAAACAAGTTTAAAAAGTTATCATCAGATTTAGTAAGAAATGGCTTCTTATAGCAGGTTGCTGAGATGGAACCATGAGTACTGGTAGCTTTCCTGGCGTGAGCAGAGGATGTGCAGGGATAGCACACAGCTGGAGCAGAGAGAGACTGTTTGTGGAGAACATAGAGGTCGGGGGTAGGTGGCAGAGCAGCCTTTTGTGAAGAAAGTGGGAGGGTGGCAGTGGGACGTTTAGAAAAAAGATGGTCCGTCTAGGCCAAGGCAACTGAGCACAAAGTGTCCAGAGGCCACTGACGAATGGAGGGGGTGAAGTGACTGGTGTATGCATAAGCACAAGTGCACTTCAGTGATGCACACACACAGCTTGAGTGGTTAACATCACACAGCTCAGACCCTTGTTCCCAAAGGTTATATGGGTTATAGATGACATTTCTTCCATTAGAAAAAAATAAGCAAACTTTTATGGTTATTCTAGTCATAAAAGTAATAAATGATCACCTCCAGAAAATCCAGAAACAATAGAATCTTCCAATATTTCTCCTATGTTTTTCTACAGTAGTTTCAAAGTTTCAGAGCTTATATAAGATGGCTTTCTTTTCTTTTCTTTTTTTTTTGGCAGTACTGGGGTTTGGACTCAGTGCTTCCACACTGCCAGCCCATGGAAGATCTATGGATTTTAAGTTGATGTTTGTACAGGGTCAGAGATAGAGATCTACTTTCAGTCTTCTACATGTGAATAGCCATTTATCCCAGCACCATTTGTTGAGGAAGCTCTCTTTTCTCCAGTGAATGTCTTTGGCTCCTTTGTCAAAGATCAAATGGCTTAGCTGCATGGTTTTATTTCTGTGTCTTCTGTTCTGTTCCTTTGGTCTACACTCCCTTGTTTGTTTTTTGTGCCAGCAGTATGCTGTTTTTGCTATTATGGCTCTGTAGTACAATTTGAAGTCCGGTATTGTGATACCTCCAGTGTTGCTGTTTTTGTTCAGGATTACTTATGATATCTGGGGTCTTTCATGTTTCCATATGAGCTCTACTTCTGCGAAGAATGAAATTAGGATGTTTATGGAAATTGCATTGATCTATAGCTTGCTTTTGGTGGTATATCCTTATTTGTAATACTAATTCTGCCAGTACACGAACGTGGAAAGTCTTTCCATCTTCCAGTGTCTTCTTCACGGTTTTATACATTTTATTGCAGAAATCTTTCACCTCCTTTGTTACGTTTATTCTTAGTTATTTCATTTTTTTTGAGGCTTTTGTAACTAGACTTGCTTTCCTGATTTCTTTCTTGGCCTGTTCATTGTTTATTTGAAAAGCTACTGATTTTTTCATGTTGATTTGGTATCCTGCGAGTTTGCCAAAAGTGTTCATCAGATCTATAGTTTTTTTGGTGGAGTCTTTAAACTATAGGATCATATCATCTG